AACCCAATAAAATCTGTCGGAGCTGCCATAGCCATGTTTGTTCTCAATTCCAATATAGAATTAATTGATATAAATTGCTGCATCTCTTAGCTTTCCTACAACTTTGAAGCACCTGAATGATACACAATAAATGTCTCCGATTGCGGCATATATTTTGTTAAAAATAAATTAAGGAAAACTGAGTTACGGTGGTTTATTTGCCACAAAAAATAACCCTCAAAGAAATCAGAAAACAACGATTCATAATTTTTTTTAACGAAATCCAATTTTATTTAAAATTCTATATTTAAAACTATAACCGATTTCATGCCATTATTCTATGAAAAACAACGTATTATAATTGATACGCAATTCGTATTTAATAACTAGCTGGTATCCGGCGCGTTGCTGCTATAAAAACAATTGTGAAAATATCGTGTTAAATTTAGGAGAGTTATATCGTTTAATTAGGAATCGTGATACGAGTACATTGCTTAAAATTGATTTTTAGTCATTCAGTAAATAAATGTATCAATTAATAGTTACGTCGTAGACACAAAGAGATTTAAATATATAATAACTATAGAGTGGACATTGGGAACATTTGTATACAAAAACTGTGAGCACGCGCATGTGTTAAGCCCTCTAGCGAAAAATAGCAATACTACGCTGATTATTTATTTGGAAAACATTTTAGCTACTTCCCAATTACTAACATACTTGTAAATAAATAGTGACGTTACTGGATAACAGAGGGAACTTATTACAATAATTTTTCTTTCTTCTAGAACAATCTACCAGAAATAATAAAATTTAAGGATTATTTAGTAAATATACGTTATTATTAGGATAATAAACCGAAATCATGTTCATTTTTTGCTCCATATCATGACTTACTATACCTTAATGCACAACCTGTACCTTAATGCATAACCGGGCATATTTTCTTTAAAAATATTTTTTAAATTTATGAAACGAATGCGTCTTGACCTTTCGGTGATGTCACTTAGGCTAAATGACAAAAATCGGAGATATATCCTATAGGACAAAAGTTACAGACGACAATTTTGTTGCTGATGTCCTGTCTATTACTACTACATACTTAAATGTCTTTGCGTAGACATAAGCTTTATTTTTCAAAAAAAAAATACGGGAAAAGGGTAACAAATGACGACACAGTACATCTGATGGTACAAGGTTAAATGTAGGTGATGATATCTACATTTAACCTTGATTAAGAATCAAAATGCAGATACATTGTCACTCTTGAGGGCTAAGATGGAAATTCTCGATTCCAGTAAAACGGATCTCCGTTGCTCTATTCTCACCATACGAAACACAGCAGCATTAAGCTGCTATTTTACGCTGGTATTCTGTGAAAGCGTGGTCCTTCCCTGGTCAATCCGACCCATTCATGCTACAACCATGATAGCTGCAGCTTGGCTCTGTACGAAACGCGTGCCACTTACTGTAATTTAATTGTAATAAGCCCATAACCTTCGAGCACTAAGTTGATCAGTTAAGTTACCAAAGTTTTACCGTAAGGTGATGAAGAGTACGCATAAACAAAAAAATATTTTTTATATATTTGATAACGTAGAAATACAAGCCGTTTTCGAGCATAAAGCAAACAATCTAATTAATTATACCACCACATTTAGCTTCGTTGTTTTGCGACCAGTTTCAATATCTAAAATATATTACGTAGGTACACTGTTTCCAAACGATAATCAATCGAGTTTATTGTTTACGAGCAAATTAATAACTTTTAAGCTACTTACTACTTAGGCATCAAGTTTTGTGATAAAATATTAGGTGTCATTTTGAAATATAATAAGAGTCTCTCCAATCCAAAGTGAATAGTTTGGAAGTCTGATGGAAGCAACGTGAATATTAATCATTAAACATTTATCTCTCTTACGGTGAGGAAATATGATATTATTTCATTTCTTGTATACCTACATCGAAACAATTCTTTGGGAACGTTAGCACAAATAAAAGAGTACCACAATAACTTCGTGATAAATTACAAACTTCTGAATACAACAGCTTGTACAAGATATATGACGTAGCAAAAGAAAAAATAACAATAACCACGATAACAAATAACAGTGTAAGGAAAGTTAAATGCTTACAAATTAATATTAAACACCCTTTACTTTGTTATACATACTTGCTGCAATAACTTATATGTTTTTTTGGCTTACTATAAGCAAGTGCTTAACCACACTTGGTGGTAAGTGGGGATGAAGCTCTAGATGGTAAATCACACTGTCTTAGCGTAATAACTCTCTATCTATCTATCTCTTTCTCTCTCTCTCTCTCTCTAACCGTTGCCTGAAGAGGCTCAGAGTATATTCGGACGTAAAAGCTGTGTGAATGTTTGTATGAATGTAAAAATTTATGATGCACAAACTATTAGAAGCAGATACACCAAAGCCAAAAAAAAAGAAAAGAAGTCTCTACGGAGAGTGCAAGCACGGGTACATATGCCTTTACTATCTCTCTCTCACAGTCCAATGACACGAAAATCCAACACGACCGGGGTGAGATCAATCGGGCCCATGTATTAACCAACGGTTTTACGAGCTTTCTCGAGGTTTTGTTTGAGTCTCGGGATTGAAACACTAACTTTTCCTGATTCCGGGCTGATACCGAAAATTTCTTAACAGTATAAACCCAACAACTGATTTGGCCTACACGACTTCATTTGATAAGCAGAAACGATAACAAAAACTAGAGGTATCCAAATAATACGAGTAAATAATGTACAAAACCTTATATAAGACTTTTACTGATTTTATTTATTATTTTTATGTTAATTATTATTATATTAAATAAATATACTATTTTATATACTTATTTTTGATCTAGCGCCTCTGGACGGTAGCACTCAATGCTAAATGGTCTTAGGCTTGTATCATCTTTACCCACTCTTACCAAAATTCGTTCAAAAACGCAGACATAGGGTTTTCTTTCTGTGCTTGCGTGGTTGAAATTTACAGTAAAATATAGGAAATATTGAATACATCTTTGAATACTGCTGACTCTCTTTTGACATCTTAAATATTACCTATGCCTGTAATTTCTAGAAATAACGTTTTATATTATATGTAAAACAAAATTAGGTTAATGACTTAAAAAACAGTTGTTGCACTCGGGATTTAAACCTTGAACACATATTTCTGTACTCTGATCTGATCGGGTTTAATAGTGACGATCCACCCCAGCTTACGCCTGTATCAATTAATGCGGCGTTATTTAGATCTAAGATAGTCAAACACTTTTATATTATAAATTTTTCGTTTTTGCAAAAAAACATTTTTTTAAATTCTTATATTAAATACAGCTGCCATTGATTTCTATCTATTTATAAAGATTCATCAAGATCGGTTGTGTCACTGCGAAGATTAGCGCGGAAAGACTGACAGACTGACAAAAATTTTAAATGAAAATGAAAAATGATTATTTACGTCTTAATAGAAAACAAATAACCCCCTGAGCTTAATAGAAGCCAGTTGCTTCAATATTACAGACAGACACTTAATTTCATTTATATGTATAGATTAATAGAGGTATAAAAGACTTTATTACAAAAATATCCCAATTCTCTAATGTTATCAGTACTAAATGTCGATTAATTAATTCAATTAAGGTTTACTACGAAACAGACATAAAGGAGCTTCCATTAAAACACATCCTGGTAATAAATTAGATGAAGGTATAAAACACACAGCTGTAAAAGTAAAATTTAAAGTAGTTGGACCAAAGATTCAAGTAACATTGTCTCATACAATTATTATGTCAAATAAATTTTTCATCACTGCTTAACAAATCTAATATTATAAATAAGAAAATATTATTTTCGATATGTGAGTTTTTTCAAGGCGGAAATGGGACAATTAACCAACAAATGATTGGTCCTCCTTTCTCATTGCAACGGAGTGACGAATCAATATGACTTTTTGCATAAAGTTTATGGGTGTAAAAGTGACATCGTTAGCTACTTTTATTTCGGAAAAATGATCTGGAGCGTATTTATTTCCAATTGAAATTTTGTTTTAAGAGTGTTTTATGTATTGAAAAAGAAATAAGGATACTTTTCTCTCGGAAATATCCACGACTTTGTTGGAACAGCTTTTATTCGTCCTTAGTCGCTGGGGATTATTAGCATTGAACAAACATAATTATTAATCTATTTCATTAAAATTAAATTAAAATTTAATTTAATTATTGGTCAATTACTTATTTACTTACTAATTAATAAAATTGGGAAAAAATTAATATTTTATTAATATATTATTAAATTTTAATAATATTTTGAGAACCGAAATATGGGCACCATTTTGGTATAAAATCAAGTAAAAAATAACAATCTAATCTCCGGAATAAAATCGTCTAACTACTTCTATCGTTATTGTTATGATATGTTATTGTTGACTCTTGAGCTCAACGCATTACATATTATAGATTTCATTACATGGTTACATAAATCCAATTATATATAGAAGAATAAAGAATCGGAGAACTTTTTACTGGAAACGAGGCATTTCGAGGTTCGCGAGGGTCACAAAGTGTCAGCATTTTGATTTATTACGAAAATAAAAAAGTTAATGTCTATCAATCATATGGACCACAGCATCCATTTAACATCGGGTGGACTAAGTGTTCGTAACCTTATTATATAAAAATAAATACTCTTTCTGTCTCTACTGTAGTGTATATTATTCGAACCAAAATTAAAATAAGCATCTCAAAGAAATAGTTGAGTTCGTGAGAGCAGATAATAATTATACCTGGCTGACAGATAAACTCATTTAACGAATGTCTGCTCATAAATATACTTAATAATTCTCCTTTTGTTACTATGACGGAGGAAATGAAATTCCCTGCCCTTAAATTCAAATGCGATGTCCTAAATAAATTAAATAAATATCCATTATTAAAAGCTTGCGTGTAAAAAAACGCTGGATTTCTAAGCATACAAGAGTTATACCACCTAGGTTTTTGATGTGAAACATCTATAGCGGCTGCTCAGATTTACTGTCGGCATGGCGACGCGTCGCCGTGGCATGCTTTGCCACGGCATGTGTCGCCACAGTATGCGTCGACACGGCATGCGTCGACACGGCATGCGTCACCATGGCATGCGTCGCCACGTCATGCGTCGCTATGCTACGCATTAATGAATATAAATGTTTACTAAATAAAAAATCATCTTTTTCTTGAAAAACACCTTGATATTTTATTTTTCGTTATGCTATATTTATTTCCTGTCATAAACTGTCTTTATGAATGCCTCACTAAATAATGTCATATGTCTCGCATCTGCAACGGCATCCCGTGACGGCTCACAATAAAAAAAAACTGAGGTGACAATCGGACTTAAAGTCAACAGCATTCTACTTTACGACGACTGGGACTTAGTGACGATCCAATCCGCGGTTAAATCCAGAAGGCAGCGCTCCTCGATACCCCCTGCATCGTCCGCTAGTTTCTTTCCTTTTCCTGTCAACCCTCGGCTGTTTGGTCTCCCCTACTTCCATATAGTTAGGTTTTATTTAATTATTTATATTATATTCATTTATTCATAGCAATAGCATTGCGAGAGTGTCTCTGTACCTATTGCATTTGTGCCTGGGGCGGTGCCGCTAAAAGCCATTTAATAAAGGTTGAAGCGCACAAAGAGCTATTTTAAAAGTCATTTTTCGTCTACCATTTCGCCAATAAACTGTGTCTTTGTATTATCTGTCCGTAAAATTTTATTTTTCAAAGTTTAAGGAGATATCATCGCGTCACTGTCCCTAAACTAATACGAAGCAATAAGAGAAAAGAACGATGTCCTGTTCCAAAACCCAATAGTGTTGTTTGTGCACTGTGTTTAGAAGACATTTTGACTTTTTAGCCCCTAGGCTATATATTAAACTTAACAGATGTCATAACATAAGATCACTAAATAACTTTGACGTGAAAAGCAAAATTACAGACTGGCTGAAAATTTTTGATTATGGAGATACGGAGAGCCTTCTTTATTTAAACGTGTAAACAACACATGCTAATACAGACACACACACTCACACACACACACACACACACACACACACACACACACACACACACGACACACACACACACACGCACGCACGCACACAAACACACACACACACACACACATCTCACACACACACACACACACACACACACACACACACACACACACACACACACACACACATTTGTGTAAATAAATTTTACGTTTTAAATAATACTTGTCAATACTATATAATAAATAAACATTATAAATATAATACACAGATAAACAAATTATAGGAATAGAACTAAGAATAGAGAAGGAAACTAGCCCCTGTAATACAGTCCTGTATCCTAGTTTAGGGGCTAATGACCACTGTAAATTTTGTGAATGTAATATTGTTTATCAATAAAGTTATTTTGGGGGGTATCAATATAGTTTTCTCATCTGGTTGGGTTCTATAAATATATAATTATAAATGAAAATGAATAGATAAATATACATAAATATCAATAACATTAAATAAACATAAAAATACATATACATATATAAATAAAAGCCCAACCAGATGGAGGGCCTCGGCAGGGGAGACCAAACGGCCGAGGGTTAGGGGGGAAAGGGAAAGAAATCGGCGGACGATGCCGGTGGTATCGAGGAGCACCGCCTTCTGCATTTGAGCCTGGAGCGGTCCGCCACGTAGTCCCAGCCGCCTCAGATGACCCGAGAAACTGACTGGGATTAGCCCGTTTGCAGAGACGACTACAGGAATAATTTCGGTCGGCAGACCACCCCACATGTCGGTCACCTCGTGAGCCAGATCCAGATATCTTGTTTGCTTATCTGTTTCGGCTTTCACGAGGCTACGAAAGGCTCATGTAGAGCCTTGTAGAACCTCCCGTGGAGCTCCTTCTCCTTCCATACGGTCTCCCGGTCGGAAATACTCTGCACTGCCGGGTCTTGCCATTGCTCTTTGGCTAAGGATAAAGGGGTAAGTCCTTTATCACAAGAAATGACGTCCTTGTAGAATGGATCATCCGATCTCGCCAGAAAGTAATCACGGAGGCTGCACACTTCGCGATTATGCATGGTGAGCGCGCTCAAAAAGCCACGCCCACCATGTTTTCGCGACAAGTACAGCCTCATTACCGACAATCTCGGATGATGCATCCTATGGGATGTCATGGTAGTGCGGATTTTTCTATCCAGGGCTAATTAAGTGCAGTCTGAGTCCACCGGAGTATGCCAAAGGTATACATGAGGACAGGCATGACAGGTTATATGTTGAAGTAGTAAGATTTTGGTCAAGAGTGCATGAAACACGTCGCAAACTGACTGTTTCATACCAGCCTCATCGATACCGATGTTCTGTGACACACCCAGGTATCGGTATGTTTCAGCCTCGGAAAGTGTTCTTAAGTTGATAGGCATAGATAAGTCTATGCCCTCAGAGTTAGCAACCCTTCCCCTTTCAACATGGAAGACCGAACACTTATGATGAAGATGGGAGCAACTGGAGGCGAATAACTTGAGGTCATCCATATAGAAAAGGTGGGTCACTTTTGTCCCTCCTTTCCGTAGCTGAAATCCCCTCCCGGAGCCCTCCAGTGAGGTAATGAGAGGGTTCAGAGAGAGGCAGAATCAGATTGGACTCAGACAATCGCCCTGGATGATACCCCTTCTTATCCTTATACGGTTCTCCGCAGCCGTCATCCGCTCGCCCAGATGACAAAGGATCGTACTTCACTGCCCCATACACTGCTCGAGGAAGTCTCCAACTGTACAGTCTATCTTGAGTCGAATGCCTTTCTGTAATATATTCAGGCGGCGGAGAAGTTCCGACGGTTGCGTTTTACCACTTTGCCAATGACCAAGTCAACGTGTACGTTGTCTAGTGCCTCTTGGATTACATTTCATGGATGTGTATTCAACATGGAGGACCGCACACTTATCCGTCCCCAGCTCCATTCTAATAGAATTGCTAAATTCACAAGTGATGTTTAGCAATTCCATAAGATGGGAGTGACTGGAGGCGAATAACTTGAGGTCATCCATATAGAAAAGGTGGGTTACATTTGCACCTCCTTTCCAAAGCTGAAATCCCCTCCCGGAGCCCTCCAGTAAAGTACTGAGAGGGTTCAAAGAGAGGCAGAACCAGATTGGACTCAGACAGTCGCCCTGGAATATACCCCTTCTTATCCTTATGCGGCTTTCCGCAGCCGTTATCCGCTCGCCTAGATGACAGAGGATCGTACTCCACTGCCCCATACACTGCTCGAGGAAGTCTCGAACTGTACAGTCAATCTTGTACAGCTCGAGGACCCTCTTTAGCCATGTATGGGGCACCGAGTCGAATGCCTTTCTGTAGTCTATCCAGGCGGCGGTGAAGTTCCGACGGTTGTGTTTTACCACTTTGCCAATGACCGCGTCAATGAGGAGTGGTTCCGTGGTTCCACGACCGCTGCCCCGACATCCATTTTGAGCGCGCGACATCACCTGATTAGAATCCAGGTGACGAGCGATTCTCGCGCTCAAAATGGATGTTAGTGTCTTGTATATGGTCGGTAGACACGTGATGGGGCGGTATTTGCTCGGGTCTATGGCATCCTGGTCTTTAGGAACCAAATGAGTGATCCCAGTAATGAAGAGGCTTGGGAGTGACTTCTGGCTGAGAGCCTCTTGAAACTGTCGGGCGAGCACAGCGTGACATACCATAAACCCCTTCAGCCAGTATTGATGCCGCCCGTCAAGCTCCGGACTTTTCCAGTTCGGGGCCCTACGGACCGCCTCAGCTACGTCATCCGGCGTTATGATGACGGGGTCCATGGGCGTAATACCCGCACACTGCCTCGCCACAACTTCTGTCCAAGGGCCCTCGTTGAGGTTTACGGGCTCTGACCACAGGCTGCGCCAGAATGCGACCGTGTCGGCCTGATTTGGTGCTGGGCCCGTTCCACTTACCATTGGTCGCTCCAATGATTTACAGAGCCTCTTCTGATCACTCTGGAAGAGACGATTCTGGTTGAACCGTGTCGACCTCTCGGTATATCGCCGAATCCGCTTTCCCCAAGCAGCTATTTTTTGCTTCAGGTCGTCTATGCGCTCCGTCAGTTTTTGCGTTATATCCGGCTGGGACAAACTAACATTTGTCCCAGCAAACGCCATCCTGACGGTGCGCACAATCCTTGGCCTGGTATTGCCTGACCTGAAGCATATCAGTCTGCCGATGAGGGCCCTAGCCTTTGCGATACGTTCTTCAATTCTTATTCTCCATGCTGGGATAGCACTACTTTGTCCAGTAGCGCGTCGAGGCGTGGAAAGTTTGGCGCCTATAATACGGCAGACTGCCAGTGCGGCGCCAAAAGAATTGAGTCCGTCTCGCAAAGGTCCCGGCTGGCTTCCAAATAGGTAACCAGCATTGGGTTCAGAGCCCTCACGACAGCCCGATTCCGCTTGCTTAAGGCTAAGCGGGGAAGTCGCGGTCGATTTTCGAGAGGCGTACTGCGCGTTTCCACAATTATTATTATTATTATTATTATTTATTTTACTATATTTAATATATGTTGTACATACAGCTCAACCAGATAATAATACTACATAAATACTCAATAATAAAAATAAGGTGACCATGGTAACGGTGGATCAGGGGGTGCTAAGAATCTCCGGTGAAGGTTCGGTTGCGACCTAAGACGACTTGACCTAGCAACATACAACGCACGCACACTAAGGACTGACGAAGATCCTGAAGCTGGAAGAAGAGATAGACAAGTTGCGCTGGCATATTATAAGAATATTCTAAATCCGAAGAGAGGCGAAGGACACGGTAATCCTTGAATTCGGCGACTTCTTCTATCACTGGGAGGGCCATATATCCGAAGAGGGTCTCGAATTTGTAGTTTACGCACCAACCTCGATACGGAGGTGGAGGAAATATATGAGTTCATTTATAGAGACATGCATTCTGACAAATTCCAATATGCGGTGCTAATGGGAGACCTCAACCCGAACTCAACGCAAAAGAACCTATATATATATATATATATATATATATATATATATACATATATATATATATATATATATATATATATATATATATATGTTACAAATAGTTTGCTTTCACTCGACGCCATATTATGGCGTTTGACAGATGCGCATATTATTTGAGATGCCAGAATATGGCGTTTAGACAGACGAGGGGTTAAATCTCAGAAACTCTTCATTGCTGCATCGGAAGACGTTTTCAAGCTACGGGACTGGAAAGAATACAGTGTTAACATCAATTGCGAGTACATCACTCACCTTCGATTTGCCGTTGATATAGTCCTTATGGAAGAATCGTTGGAGGACCTAAGCATTAATTAAAAGCTTAATAACCTCAATAGTGCGTCCCAATATCTGAAGATGCACATGGTCAAAACAAAACGGTACCACGTCGGTAGTTGTTAGGAGCAATAAGCTCGAAGCTGGTGAGGAGTATGTTTAACTGGGACAAATAGTTTGACTAGGTAAGTCCAAAAGTTTAGTCCAACTTTGGAAACTGACTAGGGTAACTCCGGTCCCGAAGGGTGCTCTGAGCTCAGGTTTTAGTGGATACAGACCTGTAGTGGTGCTGTCAGCGCTCGCGAAGAACTTCGATTCAGCATTGTGTTCCTGCATTTACTCGCAGGTCAGCGTGTAATTAACGATGCACAGCTTGGTTTTCGGACGGTCCGCAGCACAAATTCCAATTTGATGTGATTCATGAACTACTTAGCGCCAGCTCTTGATTCAGAACCGGGTGCACAGCTGGAAGTAGCCTATTTTGACTTTAGGAAGGCTTTCTACGCTGTGAGCAATGACGTTTGGTTGAGGAAATTCGCAATAACTGCTTTCACTCCAGACCTCTTGCGGTCCTTTTCTAGTTATTTAGGTTACCAAAGTTAATTTGTGGACTACGTGGCTGTACCTCGTATCCAACTTTTACAGGGGTCATTGAAGAAAGTAATTTGGGTCCGTTAGAATTTATCATTATGATAAACGACCTTCCAGATGTGGTGAGAAACGCGAGTTGTTTACTCTTTACAGACGATCTAAAATTATTTCTGAGAATTACCGACGAGTTTGATTGCAACCGCTTACAATGAGATATTGATTGTGTGGTAGAGTAGAATTGGGAGAACAAATTGCTGTTTAAAGTGTCAAAATGTAATGTGATTACATTCACACGCTCAAAGAATCCGATGCATTTCAACTACTTCGTGGAAGGTGATGTCGCCAATCTCGTTGTCTGTGTACGTGATCTCAGCGTCTTATTTACCAAGGACGTGACGTTTCGTTCTCATATTGTACAGGTGTGTAAAAGGCCTTTTAAAACCTGAAACAATGCTTTAGTAAGAAGTAATGTTGAAACTGTTGAATCCTTTTGAAACCAAGTATAACCTCATGCTGGAGATAATGCAATCACTGCGGTTCCTCGTGACTAATCCTTGGCTGTGACGGGGGAAAAGGGAAGAGTTGCTGCACCTACCGGTTGCTCGTACAAATCTGTTAAAGTGCGCTCCGGTTATTCGCGCAGCTAGAGTGCTTAACATCGTAGCACAATGTTAAGCACTAGTAGAATGGACATAATTACTTGTACAGTGAAGGAATTCGAGATGGTGACATAAAACTATTTGTAGTTTTTACATTAGTGACCACATTGTTGCAATAGGCTCCTATAATAACAATTGTGTTAATAAATAAATAAACTTCGACCGAGCAGCGTTCAGAAAATTATGGCATATCTTCTTGTCAGAATTATCTAAAACCTGAAAACATAATTGTACAACCAGTGTTACCAGTAATGGCCTATGAATTTCAGACATTATCCTTTACTGCTGAACATATGAGGAAATTCAAGGTTGCTCAGCGTGCTATGGATAGGGCTGTGCTCGGGGTTTCAATGCATGATAAAATTAGAAATGAGGATATATGTAGTAGAACCAGAGTGACCAACATAGCCCAATTAATTAGTAGGATGATGTGAAAATAGGCCAGCCATATTGCTCGAAAAACGGACAGCCGAGGAAGAGAGAGTGGCAACCTCGTATCAGTAGGCGTACTGTAGGACAACTTCCATCAGATGGAGTGACGACCTAGTAAGGCATGCAGGAAGTCAGGAACTTATCAGAAGTCAAAAGAAAAATTGGCACTAAAATAAATAAATCGCTTATTACAGAATTTACAAATTGCTGCAGTATTTCTCTCCTAATTAAATATTATAAGTTAAATACAAACAAAAAGTGAAACAACACAGTTTGAAAAATAAAACAAAATAGGAATCGATTCCACAACAATGATTTCTATTAATAGAGAATTTCAAGGCGGCATGTATTACGAAAAAAGTCCAAACTCCAAAGTTTTTGCCAGAGATCTGTCTGCCAGAAAGAGCCAACTGTTAAAGCTGAAGACTGAGTGTGGCAGCATCGTTTCCGGGACACCTGAGATTTTGAGTGAGATTGAGAGGTTCTATGGGCAGCTGTACACATCATCGTTGGAGCCACACGCAAGTGTGAGTAACGATACAAGAGTAAGTCTTACCCGACACTATTCCGATGATATCCCGGACGTCAGTCTGAGCGAGATAAGAATGGCTCTCCAGCACCTTAAAAACGGCAGGGCCCCAGGAGAGGATGGAATTACAGCCGAGCTTCTGAAAGCGGGTGGAACACCGGTACTTGAAGTCCTTCAGAAGCTCTTCAATTCCGTCCTCCATGGTGGCACTACTCTGTAGGCGTGGAGCAGAAGTGCGGTGGTCTTGTTTTTTAAGAAAGGCGACAACGCTCTCTTGAAGAACTACAGAGCGATTTTCCTTCTGAGCCGCGTCTACGTGCTGTTTTCGAGAGTAATTCGAAATACGTTTCTAACACATATGATATTTGGTCTACGCAGTCGTAGGGTTTCCGAAAAGGCTTCAGTACCATAGACCACATACATACCCTGCGGCAGATTGTACAGAAGACCGAAGAGTACAATCTACCACTTTGCCTGGCGTATGTGGACTATGAGAAAGCCTTTGATTCCGTCGAAATTTGGGCGGTGCTACAGTCCCTTCAGCGGTGCCAAGTTGACAGTCGGTATATCGAAGTGCTGAAGTGTTTGTACAGTAGGGATACGATGGCTATCCGAGTACAGAACTAGAGTTCGAAACCTATCCAACTGCAGAGAGGTGTAAGACAGGGTGTAGTTATATCCCCGAAACTCTTCACCACTGCGTTGGAAGACGTTTACAAGCTACTGGACCGGAAAGGATACGGTATAACATCAATGGCGAGTACATCACTCACCTTCGATTTGCCGACGATATAGTCCTTATGGCAGAATATGTGGAGAACTTAAGCACTATGCTCAATGACCTCAATAGTGCCTCCCAACGGATAGGTCTTAAGATGAACATGGACAAACAAAGATCGTGTTTAATGTCCATGTCACACCTATGCCGGTCGTTTTGGGGAGCACTATGCTCGAAGTTGTTGACGAGTACGTTTACCTGAGAACGCCCAAGGTCGCTCAGCGAGCTATGGAGAGGGCTATGTTCGGAGTTTCTCTGCGTGATAGACTCAGAAATGAGGATATCCGCAGTAAAAACAGAGTGACCGACATAGCCCAAAGGATTAGTAAGCTGAAGTGGCAATGGACCGGCCATATAGCTCGAAGAACCGACAACCGATGAGGAAGAAAGGTTCTCGAGTGGCAGCCTCGTACCAGTAGCCGTAGGGTAGGGCGACCCCCACTAGATGGAGTGACGACCTGGTAAGACATGCAGGAAGACGATGGATGCAGGTGGCTCAGGACCGTGTTTTGTGTCATACCTTGGGGGAGGCCTACGTTCAGCAGTGGACTTGTGAAGGGCTGTAATGATGATGATGATGATGATGTATTACGAGTTATATATATATCTGTTAGTACCAATTCTTACTATAAAAGTATTTGTTTTGTTCAATGATCGTGTGTCGTATGTCTGACATCCTCCTTACCTATTTTAGATATAGGGTCTGTGGTGACGTAAGAAGATCTATTTCAATGCAGGGAGCTCCTGAATAGGGTGATACAACGTTTGCAAATGTCAGTGCTTCTAAAACACAAGCCAGTCTTTTTACAGCAAGACAGATCGCTTACCTTGGCTCCTGCTTGGGCTCAATTGTCAGGGAATGACATTAAGGAAAGAAAAGCAATTATTATTTTCAATACTTTCGTCCGAACATGTATGAGTAGATATATTATGGACGTTAAAGAAGCGGGAGAGGTTTGTCCCTGTCGGTCTAGGTATTAAGCATAAAACTTTTTTTAATTTAAATTATAAATAGATAGAGTGGGAGTTCATTTAATTAAAATCAGGTGAGCTACATGCTATAATATACATATATACACAAATATATCCCCCCCTCCCCAAAAACGAAAATGTGAAAAAATTACGTATAGTAGTAATTAGAGAGCATATCCCTTAGCAAGCGAAATTGGACTGTCGTGAGGGCGCTTAACCCAATGCCCAATGCTGGTGACGAGTTTTGAAGTCAGCCGGGACCTTTGAAAAACGGACTTAATTCCTTTTGGCTCCACGCCGGCAGTCTGCCATATTATTGTCGCCAAGAGTCCCACGGCTGGACGCACTACTTGACAAATTAGCGCCATCCAAGCTTGGAGAAAAGGAACTGATAATCGTATCGCAAAGGCTATGGTTCTCATTAGCAGGCTGGTATGCTTTTGGTCAGGAAATAATAGGCCAAGCATTGTGCACACCGTCGGGATGGCATTTGCTGGGACTAAAGTCAGTTTGTCCCAGACGGATATAATTCAAAAACTGAGTGCATAGAGGATCTGAATCAGAACATCGGATAGCGTGTTGCGTGTTTGTGTTATGCTGGTTGCGTTCTATTAATGCAAATTTGAAGTAAACGGCAGCACTTTTCATAGTCAATTTCTCATTACAAAATCTTATGTAAATTTTTTAATGAGAAATTGACTATAAAAAGTGCTTTCGCGATCAGCTTTAAATTAATTGTTTATTTACTTTTATATTGCATATAAGGCCTACGTTCTGCAGTGAACTTGTGAAGGACTGTAGTAATAAAGATGATGATGACGATGATGATGATATAGCAATGATGTGCGGTGGATATTGTTGCGCGAGATGTTCTCGTAAGAAGAATCTGCTGATGATTTTTTTTTCTAATAGATGCAGCATAATCATTTTCTTAATGTCCGGCGTAAAAGCCCTAATCTTTGACGAGAGACAGCGTTACCTAATGCAATCATCGCTACGGGTGGTAAATGGTGGCAAATTATGTCTGGAATAGGAGACCAGCAGTGGGCTTTTTCATGTTCAACAAAAATGAAGAAGATAATTAATAGATCCAGGCGTTATTTGCGGAAATTCATTATATGAACGATGTTAAAAATAATTTGGTTAAATCTGCGTAATAAAAATATGTGTCTTACATAGTTTGAAGAGCACCTAAGGACGTCCCACCTCCCATCATTGAGGAAAGATTAAGAATCTATGAACATATCGTATTGAAACAAAAGGGTTAATTTTAAGTGTTTTCTATTTCAATTTTTTAAATAGTCATCCGTGCCAAAACATTTCAAAACCGAGTAAAGATTGAAAAAATTGAATTAAATTGATAAATATCATATTGTTAGAAATGTATAGGTATAAGGGGTGACATATTAAAAATTATCGGACTGAGTTTGGAAAATCTGAGAACTGGAAAACCTTTGTTTGAAAAAGAGCCATTCCATCTTAATCCTCAGGAGTGACAACGCATCTAATTTTGAATCTAATCGAGGATAAACTTAAATATCTATGGGTCTCAGCATCCACTTACCATCAGGTAGACTGTGTGCAAACTTGTCACTCTTATTCTATATAACAAAAAAAAATGTTTACGATTGCTAAAATAATTTTTGGGGCAAGTAAAACTGCCAGCTTGAATTAGAAATTTACAGGCTTACCACATACATTAAGTATTCAATTATAATCATATATAGAGCTGGTTTAATTACAGGCTGTGCGGTATTCCATCTTAGTCATCGGAGGTGACAACGTGACAACGTTTATTATCTAGTCTGCTTTGTTTGAAGTTGCCTGCAGGTGTCTCCTTTTTCATTTCAGTTTTATAGCAAACACAAAAATTCAATAAAATTTATGTATTTATATACAACTTAATAATAATTCTTATATAAAAATTATTTTGGTGGCAACATTATTTAAAATTTGTTAAAAAAATAATTCATTAACTTGGCAAAATTTTCGATATTTTAAAATAAAAATGTCAGCAATGAAGGAACAAGTGACGCTCAGCAAATGAGTGGACAATGAGTGGACTTCAGTTTGTGGTGAATATGCTCATTTTAGGGATGTTCAACGCAAAACGAGCATATTTACAAGGAACACACTTTACAACGATATTTTAGTGGATAAGATGTTTCGTATTTTCTTTCTATTTTTACTGTGTTTTATGGGTGTTATTTTGTACTTCAAATGTCAATAAATAATAATGCATGCAAGTTTTTACCAAAGTAACAAAATAACATAATTAAATAACATAATCAGCAACAAACTTTTTGTATTTCACCAAAACACTGCCACTTTCATAGAAGGTTATCACTAAATTTGCTTGTATGTCACGTTATAAACTGCCAACTTCATAGAAAAGTATTTATGTTTTCATTTGTATGTTGTGAAATATATTGCCGATTTGAGGTTTTTTTATTATCTTTTTTTTTGCGTGGCATGCTTGTATTTGCTTAGGTGTTTTGGTTTTCTTTACCAACAGTAGAAGCTGCTAACACGTGGTGGTAGAATAATTGAACTTGTACCTACTAAAAAAAGCTCCTTCTGAAATTAGCAAAAAGTCTGATACCGAATAACTCAAAACGCATGCTTCATCTAATTCTTCTCCGCCACCTCTCTCTATTGATAGTCCTCTAGAAAGATGCATAACATACTCTGAAGAGGAAAGTGACAATCATCAAAGCTATAGCATCCGTTTAACATTGTATAATCCATGAAATTTATCCCAGCCCATCACAAGAACCTAATTGCAGCAATGTACCAATTTTATCCGATTTACCGTCGCTAACCTCGGTCACTTACGCATTACCTGCATGTATTTCAAATCCTACAACTCCACTTACTTCTACGTACAATGGAAACTATCTAAAAGATCTACACGGTGTATGTAATACTGGCAAATCAATAGCTGTAACTGAGGGTGAATTTCGCGATTTCCTAGAAGTTGAGATAATGATGGGTATTGTACAGATGACCACTTACGTTGATTACTGGAGTCAACGCTTCAGATTTTCTTTGGTGGCCAATTTGACGACTTTGAAAATATACCATCAGATTCGAAGGAATTTTCCTTTTGTCGACAATAACATGGAAGACGCTGATAGGTATTATAAAATTCGTACTGTTGTTCAGAAAATTACGGATAATTGTTTGGCCCAAGAAAACGAACAATTCAGTATTGACGAAATGATTATCCCATACAAAGGGACTAAAGCTGGAAAAGACGCCAATACATAAAAGACAAGCCCAATAAATGGGGCTTCAAAAACTATGTTAGAGCCGGCGTTTCAGGCACGATATTTGATTTTATTCAGGCATGATATTATATGCCGGCGAAGACAGGTTCCGCTTTCATAAATTTACTGAAGAGGGATCAACTTTAGGATTTAAGAACCCGCGAAATTGTCAACTTGATTTTTATACCAAAAATATAATTTTTTTTATTATTCCCTTAATTAAAATGCGTTTTTTATATTTAGTTTTATTTTGAATTATTTATTACTCTCGTATATTGGCAAAGTATGCTACAATATATATAAAAATTATTGGTTAAGTTTTCACACAGCTGGCAGTGTATAATAGGTCACACATGTTTTATTAAAAGTACTAAAAATAGATTTTCCCAAATATTTTATTAAAACTTATTTACCCATCTAAATTTCAGTACTATTCAAGGAATTCATATTTTCATGAATATTTTTGCCTGCCAATTTAAGGAATAACATAAAATCAACGTTAGCAGTAACATAGATGCTACACAAAATTAACGTAAGATCACATGAGTACAGACACCGTACCACACAGAGGTAAAACTTCATACAATCGAGCTATTATGATTACACAACTACAAGCTTGAGGCGCATGTTTTTGGGAGCCAACGCCGTCTCAGGCCATGTTGGAAAGTAAAAAAAGTAAATGACTGACAAAAAAAAATTCTCGACGAAAGACGACAGTGCCGCCACAATTGGAAAAATCATATAATATGCCATTAATGAGGGCTCCACGACTTTTTTTTGCCACCAGAGCGGTGCTAAAGTAGCACGCTTGGTGTATATTTTACTTATTGTAAAGATAATGAAGTAAAATATTTGACAAATTTCATACTAGGGACTATAATTTTTTAGGAAAATGTAAACTTTAATGTGTCTTTCCTAAACTTACTTTAAAAAAGAACATATTCTATAAAAACATCAATACGTGTATTCTTTTTATTTATTATATTAAAATTTAGGCTTCACTTGTCTAAAAGTAAGGACCGTAACTATTATCCATACTAATATTAATATTATAAATGCGAAAGTGTGTTTGTTTTTTGTTTGTTTGTTTGTCCTTCTTTCACGTCGCAACAGAGCGTCGGCATGGCATGATTTTTTGTATGGGGATAGTTCGGTGGCTGTAGAGTTACATAGGTTACTTTTTACCGCGGAAAAACATCTCATTCCCGTGGGAAAATAGAATATGTTGCAAAAGTTTGTCCTTTTTTCACGTCGCAACAGAGCGTCGCATTGCATGAATTTTGGTATGGGGATATTTCCGTGGCTGTAGACTGACATAGGCTACTTTATTCCGCGGAAAAACATGTCATTCCCGTGGGAAAATCGAATATGTTGCAAAATTAAATTCAGCTAGGTGGCGCCACCGTGATTCTACAAGACGGACGACGGTACGATGGGCGAACACAGAAGGTCAGAATATCTGGATTATTATGTCTTTTTACAAAAATTAAGATAAAAAATGTATGGATCTGTATTTTTCCACGCAGGACTGGGAAGAGAGCGATAAAAAACATAAAATTCACCACCTGATTTTCTTCAAACGTTTTGGTGCATTGTAATTCACAGAATACGCGATAACCTGGCAGACGATATTAAGTAATCCGTTGTAACCCTAGGCAGGGCACTAGGGTTACAGGCGTGATTATAAGTATGGCTCAGAAATACTATCACTATGTGTCACGCTTTCACCCTTAACTATTACTTAGCTGTGGTAGAAACAGTTCTTAGTAAGCCTTATTAATAAGCCTTAGTAATATTTATTAAACGGAAATGAATACAGTTCTTATATGTGGTTATGAATGAATCGGTATTACAATAAGAAAAATTGTGCAAATTTATAAGAAATTTTTTTGAAAGTTCTTATTAACTAACGTACACATAGTTTAAATTGATTCCGCTAGATGTCGTTACTAGGTTTTTAAAACGCGGTACCGAAATGTTTCCTGACATGTACTTAACTCCTGCCGTTGAGCCGCGCGTCAACTTATAGTGCATACGGTACCTATACGCTTAATTTTTTTCTATTTCGTAGCTTATTCGACTACCTGCTTTCGATTTCGGTTGTTTGTTATTTGGTTAAGGTTGAATGGATTTATATTGGCTTTCATTTTCGGATTTGTGTATTTTCTTGGATCGGTTTTGTTTGGTATTCCTTTACACATATTTATACTCTGGCTTTGATTTTGGATTTTGTTTATTTGGAATCGTGAATTGGTTTTCGTTGTTTTAGGTTGTTAACAATATTTCAAAGGAATATTAATAATATAGATAATGTATACGGTACCTATACACTTACTTCTTTTTTCGTTGGTTATATTTATATTGACTACTGCTTTCGATTTCGGTTTTCTGCGATTTGTTTTGTGATTTGGTTTAAGTTGATTCGATTCTTTTGGCTATCGTTTTCGGATTCGTGTTGTATCTTGAATTGGTTTAGTTGTTTTGATTTTAAAAAATATTTAAAAGGAATATTTATTCCTTTTAGATATTTTGGATTTGCTTTAAAAAAAATTAATTCCTTTTAGGTCCTTTTAGGTCTTTTAACGTTTTTTTATAAATAAGTTTTTTGTTACTTCATAATGCCTCGCAAACGTAAGTCCAGCCTTTCAAGAGTATCTTCTCAAAGACAAGCGAATAGATTATTAACTCGGTTGCTAGAATCTTCAGAAGATGCTGAACTGAGAAGGCAAGAACAAACAGAGCGTCAGGCTGCTTTTAGAGCATCTGAGACACCTTCTTAACGTTTTGCTGACGTCTTGAATAGACAGAGCGTCAGGCTGCTTTAAGAGCTTACGAAACACCTTCTCAAAGTCAGGAAAGGTGTCTTGAACAAGATGCCTTAAGAGCCGCGGAAACATCTGCTGAAACTCAACACGGACTCATTGAGCAAGCTGAAAAGCAATCTACTATAAAGGCATCTAAAACACTAGAACAGACACAGGCGCGAAGAGATTCAAATGCACAGCTCCAAGCTGAACGTCGACAAAATTTTTAATGAAACAATTGGTCGGTTTTTAATGACGCAGCATTCAATTATGATCCGGTGATTGATTATAAAAATCACAGGTTAGTTGTTATTGGACTGATGGACAAGGCGTGTCAATTTTGCAGCGCTTTAAAATGGAAAGATGAGATCGCAGGCATGTACTGTTCCAATGGCAAAGTGTCTCTTCCGTTACTTGGGGAACCAGAAGAACCTTTGAAAACTCTCTTTTTATATGATGCTAATGAGTCACGGCGCTTTTTATACAGGATTCGGAAATATAACTCATGCTTTCAAATGACGTCCTTCGGAGTTGACCGGGAAATAATAATTCCGGGATTTTCTCCTACATTTACGGTGAAAGGGCAAATTTATCATAGAATAGGTTCACTTTTTCCAGCTGAAAACGAACAGCATAAATTTTACAAGTATATTTTATGGGTGACGAAGAAATTGAGGGAGACTGTCGCTGCCAATTTATTCAGGTAATTGAGAGAGACACAGTGTTCAAAATTCAAAGATTCTTGCATGAACGTAACACTTTAGTCAAAACATTTAAAACTGCTTTAGAAAACCTTCCTGAAGAGGATTATAAAGTCGTCATTCACGCAGATCGGACCCCTCGAGGAGAGCATGAAAGCGCTACAATGCACCTTTGATAAACGAAATAGCAGCCGTAATTAGTCGTGATCAATTTTCTTCACGAGACATTGTCTTGCGAGCACGTTATGATACGTTGCAACGGGTAGCCGATACACACACGTTTTATGACGCTCTGCAATACCCATTGATTTATTGCAAAGGACAAGAGGGTTATCATTTTCAAATTCCACTCATTAACCCGGTCACAAAGGAGCCTACTCCGAACAAAAAAATATTATGTATGGATTTTTATGCGTATCATATGATGTTGCGAGAAAGTGATTTTAACCTCTTAGCCCGGTGTAGACAATTGTTTCATCAATTTTTAGTAGACATGTATGTGAAGGTAGAAAGTTTAAATCAAAAAAAGCTGCGCGTTGAGAATTTATACATTTACAAGATGCAGTTTCTAGCGACGCCAATGTAAACCCTAGAGATTTAGGTAAAATGGTAATTCTGCCCTCATAATTCGTTAACAGTCCCCGCTACCTACATGAGTACACACAAGACGCATTCGCCTATGTACGAACTTACGGAAGACCCGATCTTTTTTGTTACTGTTACTTGCAATCCCACATGGAAAGAAATAACCGAGGAGCTAATGCCGTGCCAAAAAAGTACTGATAGACATGATTTAGTTGCTAGATTATTTAGATTAAAAGTACAAAAGTTAATGTATGTAATTAACAAAGGGAAAATTTTCGGAGAGGTGCAGTGCTTCATGTATTCAATTGAATGGCAAAAAAAGAGGATTACCACATGCCCATATTCTAATATGGCTTAAAGAGAAGTTGCGGCCCAGTCAAATAGACGACATAATAAGCGCCAAGATTCCGGATCCTGAGCAAGATAAAGAATTGTATGAAATCATTGACCGAAATATGATTCACGGTCCATGTGGAGCACGAAATTCAATATCGCTATGTATGAAAGAAGAAAAATGTACAAAGAAATTCCCTAAACAGCCATTAAAAGAAATAGTGCACAATGACAGTGGCTACCCTTTACACAGACACAGAGCTCCCGAAGATGGTGACAGGAAAGTTAATCTCACTCTGGAGCGTTCGAAACCTTAGATAACAGCTGGATAGTCCCGTATTCGCCCATTCTATGTAAAATGTTTAATGCCCACATTAATGTAGAAGCATGTA